GTTACGTTACCCTTGATCACACCCTACCAGGCCTCCTACACCCTCCTCACCACCGATTTGGATCACTTGTTGTTCCCTTGTCCCTGGATTTGTTAATACCACTTCCTTTCCCTCCATCTTCCCCTCTCCCATATCACCCCTGGAACTGTCCATCCCGTTGTTTTCTCCTTCAGAATGTTCATCCAGCCTATCTTATTTAGAGAGACCTGTAGAGAAAACATGCAGAAAAATACAGAGCAAAACCAAGCAACAAAAGAACAAATAGCAACAAAAAGCCAATGACAAACAAAACAAAACAAAAAACCACAACACAACTACAACAAAAAAGAAGTTTTTAGTTAGTTCAATAACTGTTTGTTGGCCTTTAGGAGTGTTTTCCAGTCAAGTCTGTTGAGGTGCCAAGCCCTGGCTCCAAAGTATATTTTTGGTATTCTCTGGGGACTTCGTTGCTCTGTTCCACTTGCTGTTCTGTTGCACCCCCTTAGTGCTTTGCCTCAGTGTGGTGGGATCAAATTGGGTGCAAATTTTTCTTCTTTTGGCAAATTTTTCTTCTATAGAAGAATTTATACCATGTTCTCCTACGTATAATAATCCTGAGAGTAAATTTTTAATGGTAACAGCAAACATACGTGTGTTTCCTGAGTATGTGTTAAATATTGTGGTCAACCCCGTGTAATCAGTGGTTAATAAGATATAGATAAGCCGACCCTGCATTATTGGAGCCCACGTATATTTTAGTGGCCATTGATAGTTGTACAGTGTGGGAAGACAGACCACCATCAATACATATAAAAGGTACTATAAATGAAACCAACAGATTGCTGAGCTAGTGTTTAAAGTGTAAGGAGGGAACCTGGTTTGAGTGATTAAAGTAAACTCAGCGAAGGCGACATTGGAGCTAAGATGAGGGCTGGCAGGTTTCGAAAACGGAGTCCTTTGCACCGTTAAGTCCGCTAAAAAGCAGCATCCATCTCCCCGCTCTTCTCCATCCCTCCCAGGCTGAGGGCAAAAAGCTTCCATGCCTGCACTAACGATGCCGCCGGAAGAGGGCGCCTCTGCGCGGCCGCGGGCGGGACCGAGGAGGTCACGTGGTACGTGCCGAGCATCCGGGCCCCGCGCGCGGTCTGCGCGTGGCTGCTTCCCCGGCGGCGGAGCGGCGAGGCCGAGCGCTCCGGGCCGCCCAGGTGGGGCCGAGCGAGCGGGGCGCGCCGGTCGCCCGAGCATGGCGTGCTCCTTACCTCCCTGCGTGGTGGACTGTGGCACCGGGTAAGAGCCCGTCCCATTCGCATCCCCTCAGCCGGTCGGCGCCCGCTCCCGCCCCGGGGCTCCGGGGCTCTGGCCCTCGGCGGTCTCGGTGCGCGCCCCCTGGCATCCAGCGGACGCCCCACCTCGGCGACCCCGCCGCCCGCGTCCTCCCCTCGGCCCCGGGCCCCCAGCCCCCTGAGTCCTGCGCGCTCCGGGACACGCCGGGTGACTCCGCGCGCCCCGAACCGGTCCTTCGCTGCCTCCCCAACAGCACACCTTGAAATAGGGCGTGTTTCCAGGGCTGTGCAACAAGGTCACTCGCCCCGAGGGACGGGAACGAATGGCCGGGCTGTCGTCGCGCCTCCCACACATCTGCCCGAATTCTCGGCGGGTCCCCGGCTTCCTCGCGGCGCGGGGTCGGGGTGGGGGTCCCCGCCCTCCTGGCCGGCGAGCTGCGCGTCTGTGCCGGGGTTCTCGCTCCCTGAGCTGGAAATTTGAAAGTTACTGCTGCCCCGGCAGTCCTAATTGGCTTTCCTTCAAGGGCACTGTATTGTCCTTTTGCACACCTACTTATGGAAATTCCCACCCCGGCCGTCTCCAGTATTAAACTGATTCAGGAGATGGGGCGGAAGCCCTCCGGCTGATGTAGTGGGTTATGCGTGGGGCAGCAATCTGCAGGGTCCGAAGCCCCCAGCCGCTTGGCTGGCGAAAGAGGGGGCTTTCCACTCCCGTGCGTTGGCATCGACTCGCGGGCAGTGAGTTTGCTTTGGTTTTGGGGGGGAAAAATTACTGACACCCCAACGCCACAGAGGCAGTGCTATCCTGCTCCGTAGACCCGGTGCTAAGATAAACATGCCACTGGAGGCCATGAGTGTTTGCATTTTGGGATTCAGAAGCTAAATGCTTGCTAAGCTATTGCTTTGTGTGCATAGATTCCTTTTTTTAGCTTAAAACTGTTTTGATTAAAAAGACTCCGTTTTGAAAAACAAAGTCCAAATTTGGGGATACTTGTAGGTTTGTGGGATAGGTTGTGTGTGTGTGTGTGAAACTTTTTGGTGTGTGCTTCTCCTGGTGTTAAGGTCTGCAAAAATGATCGGAAAGAGTTTTAAAAAAATTATTATTGTTACTTTCTGTGCCTTTGGGTTGATAACTGCTTTTAGAAAAGTGCTTGCCGTATCCACCATACTGGTAGGGAGCGTGGACCTTCAAGCCTGCCTGCCTGTGTAATGAATGGAGTGCTGTATAAAAGCGTTTGGCTAAAATATAGACATTTAAACTTTTTTTTCAAGAAGGCGTTTTAATCATTTTGGCACAGAACATTCCATGACATGTTTACCTTAGCACTGATTTCTTTTTTATAGAAAAATGCACTCGGT